TGTTGGACGATATGACTCAGCTGGTGACGCAGTGGCGAGTCATTGGAAGGCCAGAGTCCAGCCAGGAAGGCATGGTTTCTCCCTGTGTCCACCACCCATTCAAACACAGACACACATTCAAAACAAGCAGATTATGGAACATGGAAATCACCCGTATCTCCTCTAGTTTCTTGTCTTTTAAAGCCACTTACCCCTCATAATAAACCTTCATACATAGAAACAGAAACTGAATCCCTATTTCTGTTTATCCTTTTACATCATGGTTGACTTCTGATCATATGTCAGCAGAAGGGAATTTTCTCCCTCTATTGGGACAATGATTAGCGTGCTGCTTGTTGACGTAAATTTAATTGATTAAAACGGACCTGCTGTGATTTTGCTGTGTTTTGTTTTTAAAGGCTGAGGCTCTGACAGAAATACTCAGGGAAGTATTGCATTTGGCGTGGAGCTCGGGTTCCCATACAAGAGAGCGCTGAACTTAATTCAACACGCCTTGGACACATGGCTGACTGCAGGGCGAGCCGGAGAGGAGAGATAGCTGTAACCTCCCACTGAACTCCATGGAATCTCAGCATACTCCTTGGATCATGACAGCAACAAATTCTTACACAAGTTAGGTGATTTGTGGCTGAGTTTCAAAGCCCAGACTCCTTTTAGGTGCAGGATGTTGTAAAGAGAAGACAAACTTTTACATCAGTTAATGACCAAGCTCTAAGCTACCAAAACTGTCACTGCATTGTTTTGAAACAGGAACTGATTTGATATTCAAATGTGCCATGCTTCTGTCACATTCAGTTCCAGTGAATGAACAAAGAGACCAGAATTGAAGCAATAAAATAGCCACAAAAATGCATCAACAGCGCTATTCTCTGAGTCCTTTCACCTTCAGGTGTAATTCAGAAGTGAAATAGCCAGGAACCAACCAGATGTCCAAGAAAGAATTAGATTTTATTTATTATTTAACTGGCCTCATCCAAGGAATTTCCCCAAGAGAAATTCTATGATTTGTTTGGTTTTTTTACTCCCAGCCTCCAACAGTCTTCAAGAACTGCTTGAAAACCTGCGACTCACGTCTAATCGACCAATGAAAATACACCCAGAGAGTGGCGCAATCAACTAGTGATGGGAGCACAAGACGTGAGCAGAATTAACATTAGCAACAGTGGAAGCTACACGCTGGAATAGGAAGATCACTACTCTTTGGAGTTTGGTTCAGAATCTAATACAATAATTGTTAAAAGCAAGCACATTTGTTTGGTTAGCTGTCGGCTTTTAGTGGCGTATGCTTTGAAAGTATTGTGAAGTTAGCGCGTCCAGCTAGAGCAAAATATCACGCGTTTGGCTCGCTGAGATCTTGGACCTTACAGTGTGCCATCTTTATGGAGTCCTCACAGTGTGACATGAGCAATCCTGTTGGGATATGCAGTTTAAAGATTTTGAAGTACCTTCAAAAATGCTGAAATGCGACTATCTGACCCTGTTCTATGAAATGAATATTGTATTCTTTCGGATCATATATTTCCCCTATTTCCCTCTCCTGGCCTCCACAGAAAAAAACTAATTGTTACACGACCATTGAACCTGCCCCAGTTCCCAGCATGCACTATGAGGTGACGCACTGACACACAGTCAGCTTAGAACACAAACCTAGCTTAAATATAGATAAACTTCCTCCAGTTAAACAAAGACAAGACTGAAGTTATGGTCTTTGGAAATAAGAAAGAAAGGATGGAGGTTATTGCTCAACTTGGCTCCAGAGGAACAAAGACAAAGACTCAGGTCACAAACCTTGGTGTCATTATTGATTCAGACCTGAGCTTCGCTGATCACACTAAGGCTATAACTTGATCAGCATTTTATCATTTTCATCAAATAGTATGACTCAGAGATCTCATGTCCAAACAGGACCTAGAGGAAGTCATTCATGCGCTCATCACCTGCGGGCTGGACTATTGCCTGGACTGGTCTTTTGACTGGTCTTCCCTAAAAAGCTGTGAAGCAACTGCAGCTTATTCAGAATGCTGCTGCTAGTGTCTTAACAAGAACCAAGAGAACCGAGCACATCACTCCTGTTCTTAAATATCTACACTCGTTACCAGTAAACTACAGAATTGTTATCGAAGTGCTTGTACTGGTTTATAAACCACTCAATGGCATGGGGCCAGAATACATGTAGGATCTGCTTCCTGTATATACGTCCAGCCGAGCTTGACCTCAAATGTGCTACAACTCTAATAACCTTTAAATCAAAATTGAAAACTGCGGTCACGTAATTTAAGTCTGTTCCATTTAACTGGTTTCTTTGACCAAGGAAGGACAGTGTCCTCGTGAGCAAAGTGCCAGGCCTCGCAAGACATCACCTTGCGAGGCCTGGCATTTTGAAAAAACCACTCCTGGTGGAGGGGCAGCAATCAGGAACCTAGTCACACCTGCCCTGGTGAGCTTTTTAAAGGAAACTACCAGAGCCCTGATTGGTTGACCCCTAATCAAGGGGAAGGTGGCAGCAGGTGGAGCAATCCATTCCACTCTGTCACACAGACATTATTTGCTTTTAAGTGTGTTGACACAGCTAGATGAGGATACTTATTACTCGCTCAGATTCAGTTCCCATCAGCATCTCGGGACTACGTCATCTGTCCTGTTATTGAAATTTACAGATGAAACTTGTACAAAACCAAGAATTTAACAATAAAATGTCCTTATTTTACATCTAATTTCAATAATTCATGAAGATAATGTGTTTGGTTTTGGTTGTAATGCTCATGTTTATATCAAAAAGAGGTCAGAAATGTGTTTATCAATTATTCTGAGCTATTTTTTCAGACTAATGCAAAAATATTCTCCAATTATAAAGCAGTTCCTTTAAAACCCAGAATAACTGTGAAAATTGTATGTCAAACTGGACAATGAAATTGAAGAAATTATAATAAACAAATACATTTTGTTTTATTAATTATTGAGGATACTGCTGTTTATTGTTAGCTGGTGGAGATCCTGATTCACTTTTAGGATCAAATCAATTTTTCTCCTTAAACCGACAATGTAATTCTTCTGAACGCAAGTTTTGCCTTTTCAGGTTTCCCTCCATAGGATTCAGTCATATTTCCTCCCATTCCTGAAAACTTCCTTGTATATCTTTAGTTCTCTCTCTCTCTCTCTCACTCACACACACACACACACACACACACACACACACACACACACACACACACACACACACACACACACACACAGATGTAGTTTGAGGTTTGTGTCATTCACTTCCCAACACCCAGCCTTCTCTGAACACACTCCTACGTTTCTTCTAACTATGCATAAATATTATGATGTCATCACTACATTTTTGTCTCGTTACACACTTCCATTGCCATTTAGTTTTTCTGTTTCCTGCTGCTTCATTTTTAGTAGATATTTTCTTGCTGTTTATTGCTTTGAACTGAACCTTTGCCTTCACGGGCGCGTCGGGCATGTTTGCTAACTGAGAGGACAAAATGCTCTGAGCACACAGGTTTTAAACCCTCGTTTGGCTTTCTACGAATTTGTCAAGCTGAATGAATCACAGGCCAACATCCCTAAATTAATAGCAGCAGTGCCTTATTGACAGAAATCTAAAAATACACCATGTGTTGGACAATTATTGAAGTGTTTTCCCTCTCAGAATGTGCCACTGTGTCTGTCGAGGAAACCCAAAAGGGCTGAGTCAGAGATCCCATCTCTTCCGGAGGCAGAGCCAGTGTTGCTCCCCTTTGAAAAGCAACATGGAAAGATCAACGGGAATCTCCTGAGGGAGCTGCTGCACTGCACCGTGCTGCAGCCTCATGGCCAAACAGCCCAGGGGCCTGCTGCTGCTGCTGGGCTCGGCCAGATTGTTTACTTTGGGAGGACTTTCAACCCTGCAGAGCCATGAAGTCTTTCTGCCTCTTGCAGCTTTCTGTTTCCATCATTTTTAATCGCTTACTTGGACAAAAAAACAAGTTGCACATCTTCCCACCAGTTTTGGAGATAAGCAACATGTCTGCTGGTGTGTTTATATTCCCTCCCTTGTTGTAGCACCGTGGAAACAAATCAGAGAAGGCAAGATCACCTCATAAATTCAGGAAAACTTTAAATATTTGCCCGTGTTTTGATTTCAACACTGGTTTGAATTTACATATCTATGGGTGGCTTTATAATTTATCTGTTTATAATCAGGGCATGATGCTCGGTGGGCTCGCTTTGTAAAAAAAAAAAGAGTCCTCACAAGTAATTTAAATCTTCACAATTAGCAGTGTTTATTTGAAAAACACATTCATGATGGATTAAAGTGTAAACTCTGCAAGAGAGACACACGTATGTGCGAGCTGAGGCTGTTGAGCAGTTTAGCACATTCCTCCACACTCAATAAAACCTGCTGGATCAATATGTCAGAGAGCAGAGCGATAACTCTAAGCTCAGGCATAAATCTTCACCAACTCTAAAATCGTTTCATGTGGCATTAGTCACAGGCCATATTCTCTCAAGTACAGTAAACACTGGGACAGGTACTTAGAGCTGCTGGTTCACGAGGACACAGGGAAGCGGTTTTGTGCCGTTGCGTCTCTGAGGGAAACCGGAAAATAAACTCTTGAGTAAAAATGTTGTCAGGAAAAACAAAAGTTTGCTTTAATGGAACAAACCGTAAGAACAAGCTCATATAAAAGCAGGAAAAGGTTACTTGTAAGTTACTGGCTATCTTTTATACCTCAGAGGCATTCTAATTTAAAAATGTTGTACAATTTAAAAAAAATCCTTTATTTTTATAATCTGTCTTCTTTTTTTTCTTCTCCAAGTCATAACATCACTTAAAATATATAAAACTAATAAAAGTTTCATTTTTGCACTTTTTAATGTGAAAATGTAAAAGCAGGCGTGACTGATTCGTGAAAAGGAATTTTCTTTCGATTTAAGAGTTTTCTAACGATAACTTTTTACACAAAGGGTGTTTTCCATAAAAAATAAATAAATAAAAGAAAAAATAAACATTTGTTTCAACAGAACAATTTATTGGACTGAATTTAAATAGATTTTTTTCATATGTTCAAGAAACAAAAAGGAGAAAGTATATTTCAAGAAATAAATAAAACAGGAAAAGTGAATGACATGCTCTGCAAGGAATAAGCAAGATACACTCGAAAAATGAAACTGTTGACTTTACTGAACCAAGTTAAGTTAACTGGTTCCACCAAATCTAGTTACTTAGATGTAAAGAGTAAAATACAATGTTATGTTTAAGGTAAACATATTTTACTCTTTACATTTAAGCGACTAGTGGAACCAGTTGACATAAATTGGTTATGTAAAGTCAACGTTTCAATTCTTGGGGATACAAAAAGAAAACCACCCTTAGGTTTCAGTCTCCTTGCAGTTGAATGAAATTAATTCTTACAAATTTTGACAAAAATCAAAATACATCTCAAGCCGCCTCTTCGAATGAGAAATTTTGATCCCAGTTAGTTTGCATTAAAAAACACATTAGGTCACCGTTAAATCATTACAGCAATTAATCACAGTTGTCAAAGTAGCACGATATTGCAAAGGTTTAGTGACTCAGGTAGTGCAGTTTATGTGTTTTAAACCAGAAACATCGGTTTGAGCTTTGATCAAATAAGCATCATTCTGGAGAAAAGTACCTCACTGATACCCACAGCTGACAGTGTCTTATAAAAATGAGTCTGAAGGAATCAAAATTTTGAAATTATTAGATTTTTTTGTATAAAAAACACTTTGATACACTGCAAAAACGATTTTCGAGAAAATAAAAAAGCCTTGTTTAGACAGTCTATCTTATTTGTAGTCTAAAAGGAAATAGTGTTCTTATTTGCAAAAATAAGGTAAATATTCTTAAATGTGATCCAATTTTTTTATTTTGAACAAAAAATCTTCCATAAGGGAAGCAAAAGTTGCTTGACTAAAATTGTTAAAAATAACAAAAGAATCTAAAGTTAGATTTCTTCTAGCAACTTTTGCTCATGCCACTGGCAGATTTTTTTAAATTCAAAACAAGAACGTTTGGATCATATTTAAGAATCTTTACCTTATTTCAAGTATAGCTGTATTTTGTTCCAGATAATTGGATTTTTTTCTTTCATAAACTAAAATAAGATAAAATGTCTTAAAACAAGACTATTTTCTTTCTTGAATATCTGTTTTTGCAGTGTATTTATAACCCTGTTTAAACCAAACTTGTTTCAGTCAAATGCAGTAAGAGCCTTCCATGGAAAACGTGCAGATTTTCCACCACTTTACTGACAAACACTTAAAAAATAGCAAGAAAAAAGTTGATTGGTTCAACTTCTACACTAAATCCATTTATTTATTAACAATCATAGCCATGTTCTCAACAATGGAAGATTTATAAATATATTTTTATTTTTCATTCAACAAAGATGTCTTGTGGCATGATTCCAGTTGTGGAAAAGGAAAATTCTAAATGTCCTCAGTTCTTGGTGGAGCACTCGTGTAAAATCAACAGCTTCTTCGGAGAAGAAAATCCTTTACGGAGCGGTGGCTTTTTGGGAAAAAAACCCAGATCAGGTTGTTTGGATGAACGGGTCCAGAAACCATCCACAACAGACCACCTGGGTGATCATCTGTGTTTCCATCACAAGACAGCCAGCAGCAATCTGGAGTCCAATCCCAGATATTCCACATTTGTGCTGCTCTTTCTCTCTTGTCCATCACTTCTTGCACCAGCTGATGGGGGAGAAAAGAAATATTGTCCACAGATAAATCCACACTATCCAGCATCCAGAGAGAAGGGAGAGAGCAGGGATTTCTGTCCACCCAGGAAAGCAAAATGAAAAAAAAAAAAAAAACAACAAAAGGCTTGGGTGTTCAAGCCAAGGCCATGGGGCACCAGGGTTCACCCCTGACTGAAGCTACATCTGACGGTTGGGTCAAACCCACGCTGGTGTACAGGCTGTCCTGTCCCGGGTACTTCACCGCCGAGCCCGAGCTCGTTCCCTCCCCCGAGCTGGAAAGCACAGATGAGCTGACCTGCAACAGCAGCAGAAGTTTGATGTTAGCAGTGTTTTAGGTGGAGGTGCCTCCCGTGTGCAGCAGGCATGATGGGAAAGTGATTTGTTGTTGCCAGGCTGAGATTCCATTCGCATGACACAACCTGAAAAGGCATCAGATCATGAGAAATGTGAACTTTTGCAGTAATCAGCACCACAAAGTGTTAGTCAAGCAGATTCTTTTAGCAGCAGCATGCATGGAATCATCAAAAATAACCACAAAAAGAACACTTAGAGGATGCACAAAGTTTTTAAAATCTGAGCTTACCCCTGACACCTGTGCAGAGGGGGAGCTGGTTTTGGAGCAGTCTTCTGAGTTGGATGAAGAGGTGGATGTGGGAGTCATTGACACTGAATTGTTGCCTTTTCCAAAAAAAAAAAAACAAAAAAAAAACATTATTATAAAGATGACACGTTTAATTAAAAGTGCTTTAATTAAAAGTCTTAAGGCTCACCAGAGGATCCTTTGCTTTTATTCAAAGTTTTTGGTTTTCTCTTTCTTGTCTGGATTCCCTCTTTCTTCATGGCAAGCGGTCGAGGTACCTGGAGGATTTAAGGCGGCAAAAATGTCAGTAAATTTAGAAAAAGACAGTTAGACTTAGAGAAAATGTTAAATCTGAACTCACCCCGTGCAGTTTCGTGTAGAGGCCACAGGCGTTACACACCGGCTCTCCCTCCGCGTTTCTGCGCCATAAGGTGGTTGTGCTGGTCTGGCAGTTGGCGCAGGAGAGGCCGATCCTTCTGGATGTTGACTAGTGGCGCACACAGAAAAAATATATTAAAATCTTTAAAAACTGCCACAATGAGAGTCTTTAAAGGATAAAATCCGGTCATTAATTGAGTTACAACTCAACTCCACATGACCTACTTCCTAAAAATAATATTGGGCTCTATTGTGGTCTCCATTTATGGACAGTTTTAGCAGGATGTCAATTTTCAGGGAGCCTGCACCCCTAATTTCCTTGTAAAAACTGTGCGTAATGGCACCAGGAAATATTTGTCTCTATTACACCACGTGGCCAAACGCCGGTTGAGCTATGGTTTTCAAAAGTAAATATTCTGACGGGAAAAACGTTTAATAAAATTAAATATGCGCCATAAAGTATGCTTTAAAATGTAATTTTAATACTGAAGCAACTGGAGTTGGGTAAATAAAGACCCAGCTATCGTTTGAGACAAACAGGGAAATTTTCTCCTCACCGTCCGTTTCTGAGGTTTAATTAACGGTCGGCTCAGCCCGTTCATTTTGCTGTACAGGCCGCAGGCGTTGCAGAGAAAGTGGCCCGTTCCGTCGCGCCTCCACAGCGGCGTGGAGATGGAGCCGCAGTTCACACACTCCCTGCTCTCCGCCATGTCGTCGAGGATGTCTGAAACTAGACAAAAACGCTTGGATCAGAATACGCACACAATTGCTCCTGTCCCCCTCCCAGTTATGATTATTATTGAAGTTTTAATAAACATAAACCATTTAATTTTTTAATGTATCAAAGTTTGAAAAAACATGTTCTGATCTTTTTTTTTAGAATGCACAAGATCTTAATTTGCAGTTGTGGAAATGGTTAACGCTCAAAGGAAACATCGTATTTGGCACATTTTTGCGCACGTGATTTTTGTGCCAAATTCTACTTAAAAAATACAATAATAAATACAATAATTTAATTTAGTCATAATAAATGAAATTCCATCATCATACACACTCTCTTTCTTACCTCCGTTAGGTCCTCTAATCAAGGGCGCGCTTCTACTCTGCAAGGTGTGCAGCATGGTGTTATCAAAAGGGCCCCCTGTCCAAGGTGAGGGCAGCTGGGGGGCGACATAAGGGGAGTAAGGGCTTGCGTAGGTCCCACTGAGGGTGCGGGAGAGGCCGTACTGGTCCCTGCTGCTCACGTTCAGCGTGTTACTGTAGCTGGTGTCTCTGGGTGTCCCGTTATTCATGGGCGGACTTGGAGGGTAGTGAAAGCGGCTGGAGGTGTGAGGGCTCCCGGTGCTGTATGAGGGGCTCTCCGGGTTGGACTGCGACCAGACAGAGTGACTGGAGACCGCGTGGCCCGGTTGAGCCGAGCCGCTGGCCTGCAGGTATGGGAGGCTGGGGATCATGGCGTTTACCCGGGAGCTGGGGACGTACACGGGAGAGTTTGGGTTGGAGTGCATATAACCAGCGGAGGAGGAATCATATCCGCTCTGGCTCTGCGCTGCAGCGATGGCCAGAGTTTGGTACATGTCGGAGGGGTCCACCAGCAGGCTCGCCTTGTGCGCTCCGGCGGAGAGGACGAGTTTACTCCCCTGGTCCAAGTCTGTAAAGAGCGGAAGGTCCTCAGCGGTGGTCAGTGTGTTGCTGTGGTGTCCGAAGTGAAGATAGGAGTGAAGCGATCTACCGTCCGCGCGCCGGTGGCCCAGCGCGTCTAGCTCGCTCGGAGGTGTGGGCCCGTCTCTCCTGCTGTCACCGGGGAGGTAGGTCTGCTCAGCCGGTGACCCTGGGCTGCTGGATACTTCTCGCTTAACCATGGACCAGCTGTTTTCGCCCAGGTCCATCCAGGAGCACTTTCCATACACAGTAGGGAGCAATAAAAACGATCGGAGGGCAGATGACCCTGAAATAAATAGTCAGAAAAATGTCAGCAAATGGAGAGCAAATCCCAAAAAGATGTCCAACAAGAAGCGCGTCAAAAGCCGGTAAGACACCAGGTTTCTGTCCGTTGTAATTGTTCGTTCAAATAAATATTTTAAAGTTTGACTTCTGGCAAATCATCATCATCATCATCATCATCCTCATCGTCATCATTTCTATCCCCATTATAACAACCAGTGACGGCCATACTCTCACCGAGCGCTCTTAAGAGGCGCTGGGTCCATCTGTGTCAAATCACTATCCTCCCACACACACACACACACACACACACACACACACACACACACACACACACACACACACACACACACACACACACACACACACACACAAGTTTACTCACACATAACAGATAGGAAGCAAAACGCAATATGTCTTCACAGCAAAAGAGATAACCGTTTGATAAGACCCGAAGCAGATAAGGACCGAGAGGCAGGCTGCAGCGATAAAACAAAACCCCGAAATGATGGGTTCAGGACCGCCGCGTGCCCCGGCGCACGCCGCCAGATGTTGGACGGCAGCCGGCGAGAGGGACACGAGACAAAAGCAGAGACACAAGACGCTTCTTGGCGCTTCTTACCTGCTTAGATGTTTGCCATAAGTCGCAGGCAGAAGTTTCTTCAGCAGCTTCTCTTGGGCGTAATGGGAAGCGTCGGTGCGCACTGGCGACGTTTATGAGAGGAGGCGCTTGCGGAGTCCGCGGCTGCTGGGGGAGGACCAATCATGTTCAGCGTGGAGCTGCTGGAGGCTCGGTGGGGGTGCCAGCCTGGGAGCTCCTCCAATCAATCACACCGAGAGGAAAAACAGGATCCGATCAGAACTTCAGCGAGCTGTTTTGGAAATGAAATCAAAGAGGGGGTTTGGACAGTTTTAGGAAAAAAGATGGACCTGTGTTTTCATTTTATTCACAGCTTTACCTGATCAGCAAATAGCAGTGAGCTAAAACCATTATCCTACAAATCTTCTAATTTATTTATAAATCTCCCTTTGACTGCTTCACATGTTTATGCATGAATAAATCTACAATTTATAAGAAAATAGGAAAGTTCGGGTATTTTTTTCTTGTTTGCATTTTTCTAATAATTTATAACACGGATAGGAAAAGTAACAAACCAATGTTTTGTATCTTTTAAATAAACTGATCCAATTAAATAATTTAAAAAGCGGAGAAAAATCACATTTTTTGTCCAACTTGATCTTAAAAATAACCACAAAAATAATTATTTTAGACAATAATAATCCAGAAGTTTTTTTATGAAACCATTAAACGCAAATAAAATTTGACTTAAGTGTAACAAATACATCTTTTTATTGCTAACATAAAGCCTTGTTTTTCCTTTTCAGAGTATTTTTCAAATCCGATTTCTAGATCCCTCCCTCGTTGATTCCTCTTCCCATTCAGCTCAGATGATTAACGATTCCTCCTCTCCTGGTGAGTCATGACTCCAAGATGAACGAACTCATCTGATTTGAAACGCGACGATTCGTTCAGACTCCAATAAACAAACAAAGTTGATCAAAAGCTGCAAGGTGCCAATTAAATCATTCATCTCATTTATAGTCGTTCAAGCGCGCGTGCACAAAGGCGCACGACCACTTCACAGCCATTGTGTGAGTGGAAACAAAGCTGATTAACAAAGGCTGCAGAAATACACGGACTGCACCTTTTATAAACATTACTTGAAAAATATCAAAGAAAAACCTCAAATCCAGCAGAAGGCAGATTCTAATTTAAATCATCTTATCGCCGCACTTTTTAAAAACGATGCAGCCTACATATGTTAAGATTGCTGCCATAAATGTGTTCAAGTGAAATAAAAAAAATTGAACACAATATAGGCTAGTATAGGCGAATGTTTCTTAAAAATAAAAAAATAAATATCATGAACATAAATTATCTCAACTATTTCAACAACATATGTGATCATTCTGAAGGTGGGTCCCTGATTGGTGCCATACCAAGATGAGGGGAAATCGGCCTTTTTCGCTCTCTGAGATTATTTTGACTTTATTTTTTATAACATAACGAAATAATTACTGTTTGAGGAAAATAATAATAATCTAGGATTATTTATACTCGGGATCAGGTTGTGTCGTTTCTGCATTCTCGTGCGTCGTGGATCTGGACAGCTGCAGCAGTTTTTAAGAGACGCGCGTTTTTATCAGAGGGAGTAAACCAAAGCGCGCAGCTACTGTCTCCCATCCCCTCATCCCACTCGTCCCAGCGGTTGTCAGAGAGGTGAGAGGATACAAAATCCTGTTGTTTCTCTCCCCCCCTTCACCCCCACCCCTCACACTTCTTACAGCCTCTGGTTGATGAATGAGGTGTTCTTTTTTCCCCCTCAGTGATGTCAGAGTGTGCTGCTCTGACACACGGAGCCGGAGGACGCCTCCCTGTCTCCACATTTATCCGCACGCTGTCTGTGCGCAAGAGACGCAGAGCAGTAATCTAATTACCTTTATCACAGACAACCAGAGCACGGAGCGCCTCGGAATTTGTTTACACGTGACGCAAAAAAAGTTGTAAAATAAATTAAATTAATGCAATAATAATAATAATAATAATAATAATAAGAATAATAAGAATAATAATAATGATAATAATAATAATAATGATAATAATAATAATGTATGTATATATATATATATATATATATATATATATATATATATATATATATATATATATATATATATATATATATATATATGTATATACACGTGTGTGTGTGTGTGTGTGTTTTACTAAATCGTATTTAGAAATAACAAGAATAGATTCCAGTAAATTGCAGGAGTTTTATCTGCTTGTTTCTTTAGGAGGTGCCACACTAACGGCTGACCCTCTTCAGGTGTCACAGCTTTATGTACCGACTTGATAATGATTATCTCCAACACTTTGCTGCTTCTCCTGCAGCTAAACGCACCACTTTCCGACCAAAAACAAGATAAAATCTCCCCTAAATTTTGATTTATGGTCATCCTTGTGACATAAATAATGTGACGTCACCAAGTGGGGATATTTTAACTCATTAGATCAACGGTGACACATACATTTGAGGCTGACTGACTAATAAAAAGCTAATGTGGAGGGTTTTAACACGCCCTTCTTAAGAAATACTTGTGACGTTTTAGTTGTGATTAATGAGAAACGCGCAAAAAGGAAACGGGAAGAATTCCTCATCTTAATGGCTGTGGGGCTTCCTTCTCTTTGCATTTTAAAGATGACAGATACTTTTCAAGGTAAAACTGTCAATTTATTGTGTTAATCATGGTAGAAAGTCAAACCTATGGACCCGATTAATTGTGCATGACTGGTAATTTTAATTTGGGTTTAATTTAATTTTTGTAAATCAAAAATAAAAATATTTTATTTTAATATGACCTACAATTAAGCTTGTTTAACTAGGAAAAAATGATGGACAAAAATCTGATTATGAATTATTATTATTATTATTATTATTATTTTTATTATTATTATTATTATTATTAATAATAATAATATATATATAATAATAATATTGCAAAAAATCATATATTGACAGTAAGTAAAACAAATTCAAATGAATTAAATTTGACTTTCTGAGTGTGAATGCAAAAACCAACCCACCAGGATGCAAACAAATGATGAAAATGAAACCAATAATGTAAACATTAATAAGCTCCTTGTTTTGAACTGTAAAAACCTCAAAGACTCATCAAAAGTGAAACCTGATTCCCAGATTCCCAACCCTTTTCCTCTTCCTCTCAGATTAAACCATCTATGTATTTGATCTGTGTTTTATGTAAAACACAGTAAAATTTTTACCGTGCAGCTCTTTTCTGTCCCTGTCCCAAGCTTCTGCTGCATGGAGAAAAGGCTGCTGGGAGGCCGGCGAGCACCAGGCTCTCCTGTTTGAAGAGGTAGATGATTAAACGGGTTGACAGGTGTAAAAGTAACCTTTGTCATTTTGGACATGCAGCGTCCTTGCCTCCTCGGCTCGCCCTCAACGGAACGCCCTGCTCACCTGCAGCGACTTTATGTGGACACATCTGCGAGTGAGGATCATGTCTGGATGCAGCTTTTTTCTTTCTCACGTGTCAGTAAACAGCAGGCCTGATGTGTGCAGAGAAGCAGCATGGCGAAAATAAATCCTTCCTCATTAGAAATTCCATTTATCTCCTATTATTTGTTTCTCCTGAACATCACATCAATGTCGTGATGTCATATCAGTCTGACACAGACTTGACCTTTTCTTTTAACTTTAACTTAAAATCAACATTAACGTAATTTATCATATTTTATCGTTCATGCGGCTCTAATCTTTTTTTCCCCTCGAAAATGAGCCGTCGGCAGTGGGAACTGCTTAAAAACGATAAGAGGGGTTTATTGTGGTATCATATGCAGGATAAGACCAAACAGGTCAATAACGTTGAGCAAAATGAAGAGAATCTTATTCTTCATGTGGAATAAACTCAATTTCCTTTCATAATTCCATTCATCTCACAGTCCGGAATAACGAGGCTATAAATGTCATCGTCTTTAACACATAGTCAGGTCTGAAGGAAACTCCCTGAGTTTTTGTGAGGGACCAATAACGGAGGAAGTTGGAACATTTATGCAATGTCAAGGAAAGCTCACCTGGAATAAGACAGCAGGAAAAGGTCCCATCCCTGGCATATCAACCAGATTATGCACTGGGAATAAAGAGAGATTATCATCTATTGTTCCTGTTTATATTCTCAGGTTTGTAAGAATCAGTGGATATTTGTGGAGGTTTTTGCTTTTGTAAATCTTAAACGTGTCAGTCAGGAACTTAAAAATATGATTTTAAACATAATTGCTCCCTTATTTAACCCAAAAGCTTCAAATAAAAAATATGTTTCTGTTAAATTTTAAAATATTATACCTGCATTATTTTTCTGATGAGTTTCCTGGTTTTCTTTTACCCATATGAAGATCTTTATTGTCAAATATCATCAAAATTTCCCTTTTACCCCTGAGTCTGCTCAGATTTATTTCCACGGGCCTTTAAAGACTCCGTAAATCACACAAGCTTTTCTCTCTGGCTCAATCCATCGCTATAGAGACAATTTGAGATCAAAGAGCATACTTTTTTCAGGCACCAGGCATCTTTCTGGAAAACTGAGCCTCATCTCTGGCTCAGATTGAGAGGTTGTGTTTTTGTTTCCACGCCAACGTCTCCATCCTGTGGAGCCGGCCCCTCTCTGAGTGTTTTGTCTCAGGAGAGAAGGTCAGGTCTCCATGTTC